GCAACCATTCTACACACTGCAGTTTCAGGCAAAAGCATCCTGCTTCATGGTTATTGGCTAATAGCTCATTAAACTGCCATCTGACATTGAGAATGATCCTTCAAAGGCTCTAATCAATGCTAAGCCTATCAGTGTTAGAAAATCTTTAGAGGATCAATCATTTGTGTTGCCTGGAGAGAAGGTGCTGGACAAGGGAACATAAAGTGGGCTTGTCATGACTGAACGTGGGGATGAAGTTGTGCAACAACATGGTCAATTTGATACAATCTGTAGATCAATGGTTTCCAGCAGAGATGAGCACATTGATCAGCAGAAATACTGAGAGCTGCCTTCTGTTGCCAGTGTGCCTTTGTGCTCCACATCTATTTTTGGAAAGCCTATGGCAGCAGATGAAGGCACGGCATCAGGGACCTATTCAACGTTAGAAAGTATACTGACCTCCAGGTTAGTGCATAATAAGTAGATGCTTTGAAATTGTGTTTTCTGCTTTTTTTGGATCTCTGTTGTGGTGTAACCTGTCTCTCCCATCTCAGATTGAAGGTTCACAGCAGATGAATAAACATGTTTTTCAGAAAGATTTTTTTTAGTGTTAAGGCTGTTGATTCATATCTCTCTGAAAAATACAATCTTTGTCTTTTTTATTTTTGATCTCTCATACAAGAGACACATGGGCTCCATCTAATCGTTTTATTAGCTGCGTTGCAAAAGTTTGTTGGCAGTGTCTTCAGATTAAATACCAAACAAGACTGTCTTTATATGCTTTGTTATGTTATTTGATCTTACCTGTTAAGTGCATTCGTTGTACAACAGGAAATACCACAGGATGCCAGACAGAGTAACCCAATAAAAGCAAGAATGCCCAAGTCATTAGTGAGGAAACACGCTCACATAACATTTCCAGATGTACAGACTAATTGGATTTTACCAGTAAATCAATAGTTGTGTTTTTATGAGACTGACCGCAAGGTAAACTGACAATGGGCTGTTACCTGTGGCTTTTAACAGGTAGAACCACTGAGCCAGGTTGCTAACAGAGCATGCTATAATCCACATGTAGAAACTGGAGCAGAAATGTGCCATGGTTTCACTCCCTAAGCGATTACGTCAGAAGTTGCCGTTAGTAAGTCCCTCTTCTGGGAGGAACATCCCCTCTGACTGGAGAATTCAGCACCTGACAGTAATCACATCCGCCACAGTCCTCCCAGAGTGGCATGATGCAACTGCATCCACAGAGGCTGAAGCCAAACAATAGGTAGGAAGTCAGAGAGGTGGATGGAATGAAGTTCATAAATACTGATTCTAATAAACAGTTTCAATTAGTATCATGTGAGGGGGCTATAAAAGTCATTCTGTGATCAGTTTAGATAATATAAACAATAGACAGCCCCCTCTGAGATCCATTGGGTCTTTGAAGTTCAGAGAACTTGGAAACAACAAGACATGGCTGATTCACTCCCTCCCACACTCGGATCATGTGCTATTAAGGGGAACAAAACATTTTTTAGCTGGATAAATTAGTTGTAAGGAGTAGTGTTTGTCCACCCCTCATATCTGTTGCAACACTTGAGTTCAGCTCCCTTCCTTCTCCAGTCTGCCTCCCTGCTGGCTTTCATCATGCACAGTGTGTCACACGGCAGCAGTGCTATGGTGATTAAGCCACAGAACTTTGGGAGTTGATTTGGAGCCAGTACAGTAATTGTGTTAATGTGAGCTGGGTTATTTAGTAGAAAAAACAAGACTCCAGATTATGACCACAGTTTCTTGAAATAGAATGGAAAAAGCACCGTAGCAGGAAGTATCTCTATGTTATATTTCTAGTCACACCAAATCATTTAAAGAGACAAAGCTGGAGTAAACAAACTAGTGATTATGTATGTATGGATGTATATACTACATCTCTTGCTCTTTAAAATAGGCTACATTGGCCTTTCATTTAAAATTGGAAAGCCTAGAGGCACTTCACCAGTCTGACCCACTTGTTCCCTCATCTCTGATATTCCCCCACTCCACGTAGGTGCTCTGATGTCAAAACATTCACACATCCACATACACAGACACTCACACAAACACAGTCACACAGAGTTTGTGTGGGGAGGTGACAGACAGTCGAGCCCCGGCCCGGGAGAGCAGAGTAGAGTGGCTCTCCAGCAGGGACGCTGACGTTCACACTTAAATGCTTTAATAGGACTAAAGTAGACAAAGGCCGCTAGTGACGCAGTAGGAGCTATAACGGGCTTGCCACATCGCAGGTTTACTGGACCCTGCCTATTGGACAGAGCTATTTCCAATCCCACAATCCCTAATCAGCCCCAGGAAGCTAGTTATAAATATAAAGTGTAGGTTAATCACTGCTAACATGTCCCAGTGAAATGTTTTTTTGTTTGTTTTTAGGAGCAGTAGAGCAGCTAAACTGAGGCTTTTCAAGATGATATAAAGAACGAATTGTTCACTTACAAGTGTATTATTTTGTAAGACAAAATAAAGCAGAGGTACAGTATATGTGTAATGTGCAGAATATTTAGTAAAAAACAAATTAGCAGAAAAGATCAATTAAACAAATCCAGACGTGAATATTCTGTAACTAAATGGCAAATATAGTCTCGGAGTTTGCATTGTGTAATAGTGGGAAACCACGGGAAGAGGAACATTACAAATTTTGACCTTTTAATTTTAGGATTTGGTCAAGTTTCAGGCAAAATCACATTGTCATGCCATATAATTAGAGATGACATTGCCATGATAATTGTCACTCATATGATCTTTAGTTCCTCTTTTGATCAGTTATACCTTAGCCTACACTGAGGCCAGCCTACAGGCTGCGAGCTGTTCCGCTCTGATAGATAGTGTGACAGGTGGAGCTCTAGGTCTTTAGCTATGACTAGCTTGGGCTTCAATGCTTGTTATCTCTCACACCATCTTATCCACCTTGAATGCCAAAACTAATTCACAAAGATCAAGAGACTGCCTAATCTGTTTAGTTGCAATGCGCCAACAGGGAGAGATGTGAGTAATCATTTGTTGGAACTCCCCCCCCCACAATATTTTGTGACTGTTTTTGTGAAAATGATTCTCTCTAATATTCCATAGAACATCCAAAGATGAAAAAATTGTTTTAGTCTAGTTGTTTTGAATATATAACTAAGATATATCTGTATGCATAGTCCCTGTTGTCTCTGTTTATAAATATTAAAGTTACGCAACATATAGCCTACATTGAGTTGTTTTATGCCTGGGGTGAACCTTCAAGCTGTGCATTTCCTTCTTGGCTGCTTGTCCACACTGTGATAAAAGGACTGAGGGGTTAAATGTTTGTCCAGCTGAAACAACACAGTAAAACTCCTTCTCTGTGTCTCTGTAGCAGAGTCGTCAGAGTGCAGGACCTAAAAATAGCTGTGCTGGCTCCACGCCTCTGGCTGGGGGACAGGTCAAATTATGAAGGAAGATGAAAAATTTAAAGGCACAGGCTGCTTAGCCACAAACCCAGCCCTGCATCAGTGATCGAATAAAAAACATTTGACCTGACTTTGTCCCGACTTTTGGTCTGGAGTCAGACTATATTAACTACGGCTCTTAGAAAGTTTGGGATGCATTATAAAGTGAAAAAGTTTGACTGTGCATCGACCTGGTGTTCAAAATTCAATATTCAGGTTTTTGAGACGCGTGGTTATTTTTTCTCAACGCCACCATTAAACAGTATGAAGGTGTTGTACCCGGTACTTTTTACCATACGGACTCTGAGAGACGAGACAGTCCAAGTAACTTCTAAACAGTGCTGATTTATTCCATGAACACAGGTAAAATTAACATTACATGCTCAGGTATCTTGCACCTCCAAACTGCTCGCAGGCAGATGTAAGATGAAAGACCCTGAACCCACCAGGCCTATACATTATATCCCCTCGGTTGGGCTAGCCCCATACTACACAGAAACGTCAACCGAGACGTCTCTGTTACCAGCTTTGCAGCTGGTCATAGCAGTAGTCAAAACATGAAGCAAATCAATGTGTGTGTGTGTCTGTTGATTAAGTGGTGTGTAACTAAAAACATTCTCACGACCTCTAGTAACATGTCGTGACTTAAACATAAGAACATATTATGGCTAAGGCTACAGTTCTACACGTCATAATAATAATATTAAACATCCTGTCTGCTGACAGTCATCAACTCTTCTCTCTAGTTATCCTTGACCAGATGTACCCTGTAGAAACTCATAAGCATGACTAAGCATTTAACAGTCTAACTAGACATCCTATCTCCACTAAACATTTCTAATACATAAAGTATCTATCCAATTTCTATCTGACTAAAAATACCAAACAAAGGAAAAGGGATGTGTAGCTCTGGAGAAGTCTTCTTGAATTGTTTGAGAGGTTCACTACATGTAATTGTGATCATGCTGGTATGGCACCTTACAGTTGGCTCCCTTGGCTCACTGAAAGCTTACTTTGAGTAGCAGCACTGCCCTGGACACACACTAAACCCCGTTTACACTGAGCTAATGCAGTGAGTCTTAAATAAACACACTGTTCATTTGCTGTCTCACTAAAATTAACACACCTTGTTGGTTTTTTGTCACACATACAGATTTTCGCCCTTGCCATTGTATTTGTATTTGCTTGGTTGTTCTATGATCATAATTTTTGGTAGCGTTTTGCAAAAACTTAAATCACATAAAAAGCAAGAAGCCATTTTACTTACCTTTGACATAACCGTACAAAGGTGAAGTTGACATGTACCTCTTTTATAGATCAAGGTAAAAATGGATCATTCCACCCATGTACCTGAGAGAGCATAGTGAAGACAAATAGAGTGAGTGAGAGAGACTGGTTCAACAAATCAGAAAAGACAGAGAGAGAGGAATCGAGCCTCCATCTGCAGAGAGGGAGTCAGAAGACATGCCTTCTGGCAGTAGCTAAAGAAGCCAGCTGTGTTTGGTGTGGTATTTTTAAATGCATCAATGCTGCTCCAATCCCAGCGCTCGCCTGACCTATTTTTAGCCAGGGCTGGCCATTGTTCTATTTCTGTCACCTGTGGGCCACGCAGTTGTTGATTCACATGCAAATGAAGCTTGCTCCCTCCCTGGCTTGTATTACTGCCCTAGCGAGGTGCTTGGTACACAGTATTCGGCTTTCCTTACAGCTTTACATTTCTCTCAGTCTCTGCTCAGACACTTCGCTGAGGAGAGAAAAAGCCACAGACTGGAAAGAAACAGGCAGAGAGGCAGATAAGCATAAAAAGCAGGACTTGCCATCTTCTCCTAACACTGTGTCAGAACCAGGCTGAGGCAGGGCACTGAGATTGTAGCAGCCCTGCGAGAGAGATTGTGCGGTTTGTGTTATTGCTCTATAGTGAGAGTGATTTCTCGGAGGAGGAGGCAGAGGAAGAGAGAGAGTTGCCTGTTGTTGCGGTCTCTCCCCTGAGTGGCTGAGGGGTGGCTCTTGGTGACAGGAAACGCAAGGCTGGCGATGAGACCTGAGCGCTGAGTGGAGTATGCTGCAGACGATTTACGAGGGTGAGTCAAGTTTCTCCACAACAGAGGGGCGCGTTGGACACCAGCAGCTCCCCAGCCAGAGCACGATGCACAACGTGAACAGCTCAGGTGATCACACAGCCCTGTATTTTTATTTATATTGAGGAATCTCCATTTTTTATCCCTTTTTCCACCTCTTTACATCCCAGTCTCTGTCTTTTCCTTCATCACTGAATCTGTTCCTACTTCTCAGCTATCCCCCATCCTCTGTGCCTCGCACACATTCACGCTGCCTCTCTCACGTACCCTCAACTCTTTGCACTCAGCCGGTCTCTCATTCCGTGTGAATAGAGAACTCAAAGCTTCTCAGCACAGCAACGTGGTAGGATCAGATACTTCTCCCTGAATCAAGGTATTTGCTCTTGTGATTACATATGCTGCTTTATGTATTGTGTTTTTCTGTAGGTCTGTGTTAAAACAGATCTTGTAATGAGTTCATAAGTGCTATTTAACCTCTTGTATTAAACATGCACATTTTTACTAAAATGAGGAAATGTGTTAACACCATTCTCACGCTCGAGCTGCCTGAAATGAGTCACTGTGAACATAAAAGGTGTTTTTGCAAGCTTCTGTGTCAGCGTGCACTTTCCAGGGAACAGGAAAAACTGTGACAGAAATACTGAGGGGACAACTGAAAGGTTTCTCTCAGGATATTTACCACAGACACGGTTCTATTTTTGACCCGAGAATTGAATTGAAGAGTACATGGCTGACATCAGTATGAGTAATGTCTGTTCACTGTATTGACTCAAGATGAGTCACACCTTATTTGCTTTGATTTTTACGACATGTGGCTATCGATAAACTGCAAAAGATTTTGTTCAGAGGTGAAGCATTGTGCTCAGAGAAAACAATGTCATGTGGGTTACTGGAATGTATGTGATGACACAGTGGAGTCTGAGTCATTTGTGTGCTTAATTTACTGAAAAATATGCCATGACCTTTGAGTTGTCACTAGATTTTTGAAACTTAGCCAAGAGCTAGAGGGCAACAACATGATGTCAAATAATGTAAATGAGTTGTTAAATGTGAATTTAAATTTTTTGGTATAAAAAAAGTCAAAAGCCTTCACATAAAAAAAAAAAACAACTAAAAGCAGAGCCTTAAGTCAGACTTTTGGTGAGTAAAACAGGTGACTGAAAACATCCAGAGGCTAAACGTGAAGAGGAAAAAAACCCAGGAGGATGACAGGGAGATGACACATTCCATCTCTGTCAACAGAGCAGGTTATTTGACTGCAGGAGCAGGGTTTTCTTCCTCTGTCTTAGTGGCCTCCCAGCCAAACAACAGATATACCAAGCGCCTGAATTTGGGCTCCTTGCCTGTTCTGTGGGTCAGCTATTCTTAGGTGAGTTATTTTCAGATTGTAGCATTAGCCTGTTAAGATTAGGCGTTTGAGCGTTATCATTCCATCTCAGCAAGCTCCTAATATAACAGCAGTTTGGAACAGATATTTATAGTGGATTCTGTCATTTGCCTTTTTAATTTGTTCTCCCACTTTATAGTAAATCATTTGACAGTGACTGGCGCTATCTTTCTAAAAAGGCTACTCCAAGACTCCTCTGTATGAGTTTGCCGGGTGTGTTTTTAAGCGTTGCTGTTAGAGCAGAAATGCTTCCTTTAAGACAGCTGTGTATTTATGTTATAGAGTATAAATGTTTTGTTACAAATATTGTTGGTGAAGAGACCCTTGTGTCAGATAAATTATTTATGATTTGCTTTCTAAAGCAAGGTTCTTGACATTTTATATGATAACTCTACTTCTATGCTGGTACATTTCAAGTGGACCATGAAATTAAAGGGAATATACACATTTTTGTTTTGACTAGTGTCAGTAACATCAAAGTTTGGGCATAAATGGTCCTCGGATTGGCTCTCCAACACCGGAAAACTAATTAATTGCCCCTGATGCAAAATATCATGTAAAATATCACGCAACCTCCCATCAATAGGGACCTTTCAGACAATAACAATGCTGCACCTTTCAAGTCCCCTTGTCGTGTATCTATTCAGATTGCCTCACCATGTGTAGTTCAAGTGCTCACTGCTAAAGAGACTGTGAAATAAATAAATAGATAAATAAAATTGGATTTTGTTTCAGTATTGCCTCATTATAAGAATGAAGTAACTTATTATTTTAATAATAAGATGATGAGCTAGTAGAACAAAGGGCCCAACTTGAAATGCACAGGACATTTAGCATTTTCTATCCTGTTTTTCTCAGTAAGCATGTTGTAGAAAAGTTTCTTTTTTATCAGTGATGCTGAGAGATTTTTTCCCCTGGTTGGAGGGTGGCTTATTTAGATGTTAAGCCATTGTCTGTTGCTGACTGGTTTATTAGGACTTTTACTGCTGACAGTGTTGTCCACAGAGAATGGGATAATGATAAAAAGTCTTGACCTTTTCTTTCTTTTAACTTGGACAGAGATTTAGTATATGTCATCTTGTGTGCTCTTGCTTTGTAAGATGGCTTGGTATGATGCTAAGACAGGGGGCAGCCAGACCCCTGGCTCCCCTTAGCAAAAAACTCGTGGTAGTTCAGCTCAGTTCTGTTTGTCTGCAGATAGCCTGCAAGCCGCAGCCCTGGCTCAGCTGCAAGGACGAGCCTGAGTCTTAAAAATAAAGACCTGTTTCCTGCTTTAGACATGCCAGCTGCTCAAAATAACAAGGCACTTAATAAGAGATCCAGCACCACATTGCAGTCCCAAGCATCAGCTTATTTTTGCCCTCAAACATCTTCTGTATCTCTGGTTCTATTTATACTGTTTTATACAACTATACTGGGAATTTAGATCAGCAACCGACTCTATTGCACACTAACTGTTCGCACACTACATGTTTAAAGCATAAACACATAACACAACATTTACATGCATTTTATACTCTTTATTTGCTGCAGAAGATTTAGACTGAGACTGATGTATGTGATTCTTAACATTTATGATTCAAGTGTTGCTTTTTAACTTCTTGCATATATAAGTATTGCAAAACTATAACAACAGCATTAGCACCAGCTAATGAATTTTCAGGGTAAACTTTGGTTCTCACATATGTGCCAGTTGGTAAAACAACTTTGTTAAGCCTAACCACCTGAGCAAATGTATATGTTGATAAAAAATGAAATAGTTAATTTATTCAGCAACACTTAATGTTGCTGAATACACTAAGCACTACTAAACACTAGGCACGACATGTTCTGTGTGTTGCAGCAGTTTATACTTTTATTTTTTTGATGAAATCTGAATATTTTTAGCCTTATTTAGTGACAACAAAGCATACCTCAAATGACTTGTTGCAGCATAAGAATAGCTGCACCATTTATATTCACCAGGTAATGTTTGCAATAATAATAGCTTCTTTCTTATGTTAGTTACCAGTGTAAAAATATTACACTGAAATGTCAAGGTGTGCTTTTTAAGTCTGCCTGCATACTGACCTATGTATGATAATGCTTTATTATACATCAGTGAATTTCAGACTCCTTGCATGTAATAGTAGTGACTCTGCTCTTGTGTGTCTCTTCTTTCACTGGGGTGAGAAGCCTGCTAATGTGGCCTGAGGCAAAAAAACAGCCATCCAACATTTCAAATTAAGACTGTAATTGTTACTCCAACCACCACCAAGGCTAATGAGAGGCAGATCTATAATAGCAATAAACACACTGGGGACACTGGTGGTGCGATGCTGCAGTGGGACTGTGGTCACAGACAGTGAGTCACCCTACACCCCCTTGGCAGGCCATCCACAGGGAGGAATTTGAGCATAGGACAGGGTGCTTATCACTCCCTTGTGCTAATAACAAATTTGGGACCTGTCATTCATAAATCTTTTGTTTACCAGTGCCTGGAGACACTTGTGTGCACTTTCCACCAATCAGGAGTCACTTTACTTTCATCAGAAATAAACTATTCATATCAAGGGCCATGAGCACCAGTGCAGGACCACTGAATCAGAAGTGGCAGGCTCTTCTTTGTGAATGATCATTTCAAAAGTGACATGAAAGTTACATAAAAGCAACACTGTGCTTTTATTTTTGCCCCTGTTAAATTGAGCAGACAGCCTCACAAATGTGACAGTCTTTCGCACATTGTCTATATTAAGACCCTGCTCAGAAAAGCATTTATATTTAGCCCTAGTTACTGGTGGTTCCGTATTCTCCCTGCCCGAGGAGTGTTTCCTTAAAACAGAAACAGCAGGTTTCAGTTTTGGGTAGCTTCACCAAGCATTTGAGCATAACAGCGATAGATTTATGGTAGTATATTTTCTGGTTGAGTAGGGTACATAGACTGAGGTATATTTTGACCTTTTCTCTGTGTTATAATCAGTACAGAGAATTAATCATGAGGAAGTAAGTTGTAAATTATACCTTAGAGGATTCAGTGAAGCTCGACCAGTCCCTACCTACCTTGTTATGTTCCCTCAACATTGTCATTCCATCCAGGGTTATTCTTGCCAACAGTGGCCAGAGCGTGGACAAGAATAGAACAGGCACATGAGGCTGTTGTGGTTTCCTCAAAGGCCATTTCATACAGCCTTGGTTATCAAAGGTGGCTTAAGCTTTTACAATCCTCCCCCCCCCAATCCTGTTAAACCCAGTGCCTGAGATTTTCTAATGCAGGCTCAGCTTGATGTGCTGATCAAAGTGGAGATCCTTAATGTCAGTCACAGTGAGGGTACAGAATGAAATATGAGATTAATTAGATACCACAGTGGTGAATTCTCCCAGGCAGCAGGTGTTTTTGTTGCTATATTTAGGTCCATTAGGCAAAAGTAGCACTAAGGCTGTCTAAACTCTCTGAGCCCTTCAGTGGTTCACAGGTTCACGGCTACCCATGGAACAGCGCCCGCTACAAGAGTCCTTTGTAGTACTTAGAAGCTAAGATTAATATTCCCTGTCAGAACAGAAGGCTCTGTTCTACAGGTGCCTGTTCTCTGTGCCTGCCAAGCTTTTGCCCTCCTCTGTCATTTGATTGGAGCTGTTTTTAGAACATAGAGAGAAAAATCTTCTGCAGGGGAGTCCCCTTTAGGCGTCTTCACTCTTTGAACATGTTTTAAGACAACTTAAATTTAGCCACTGAATCTCTACTGAGTATGTGTGTGTGTGTGTTTTAGGGTTTTGTAATGATTCTCTGTTTCTCACAGCTGGGAACTCCTTTCTTATATTAGAGCTAAAAAGCTAATATAATAGTCAACATGGCACATCGCCACGGAAGGCAGGAAGATGACATGCAGTGAGACTCGATATCTGCAGGATGGGGAGACATAATTACGTCGCCAGGGTTGCCATGGTAGCAGCAAGTTAGGGTGGTGGATACTAGGGTGTGGGGGTTGTCACAGACCAGGATTGCGCCACTTGCTTTTATGTTTCTATTTATAATCATCACTGCCACATACACATGGAATGGTAGCAATGAAAAACAGGCTGCATGACAAAATAAATGGGTCCCAGTGAGCTTCACAGCATCACCAAACACGAGGGCACTGGTTCTTAATTGATGGCTCCAGTACTATAGACTGACGCTGCTCCTTTGTGCAGGGCTAAACTTCTTTTTGTTGGTCTGTTATCATTAGTCTGTGACTATAAATGCATGACAAACATGTAAAGTGTAACATGCCATTTTTCTGCCATGTTTCTAAAGAACAGGTGGTGATGTAACATTGCCTGTATTTGTTCTCCCTTGAAAAGATTAAGGCAATGAATGCACTCAATAAATCTGCCTCCAGCCACTGGAATTTTAAGTAGGTTTGAATATACAGTATCTGTGGTCTCAAAATGGTAGAGACATCATCCAGTCTGGACAACGTGTTCTCTGCTTTGAATGTCACATCATGATCAGCGTACCGTAACTTTTTTCAGAGAATTGGACATCTCTATTTAGTCACTGCTCAGATATATGGTAGGGCTAATTTAATATGCATCTAAATTTGGTTTAAAGGTGTGATCCCTAAAAATGCTTAGGCAACTAAAACCAGTTGATGAATTCAGCTGGATGTAGAAGTGTGGATTACTAGGATAAAGAAAATATTGTACAATTACTGATCATTCCCTATGGAAAAGAGAGATGAAGTAGCCCTGTCTCCTGTGCTCTTAACTGGCAATCAATTTTCTCTGTGGAAGAGGCTATATATAGTGCCTAGAGACCAAAGGGATGCCCTCTCGCTTTGTATCTGGCAATTACTTATAATGGAGGTAGTTGTCATAGACAAAGGCAGTTCTTACAGATGCGCACATCACGGCGTCTGCATGCAAGAACCAAGATGGAAAGATAACAGGGATATGAATTCACAAACACATACTGGTTGATGAACTGTTCTGCCTTAAATCATTTGTATTAACAAGGAATATCTGACTGTGTTCTGGTAGAAACAGGGAGAAGGAGTCACTTTATTTATTTATTAAACGGTGCAAAGATAGGATTTATCTAAATACATAATAAGGGACCACGTCAACATTTTGTGCCAAATGTCAATTTAGTCTGTCGTACAGCTGGTCTCAGTAGAATACACTGAAGGATGTGATCCTATGTTTATTTGTAGAAACTATTATAATTGCAGTTTTGTGGAAGCCACAGGAGAGAAAGATAGGCTTCTTATGTCTGAATATATGTCATATGTCTTCTTTCAATCTTTATAGTTCCGTTTTTAAAATATCTTTTTTATAATGCTAATCTTACTGTCCTTCTTAACTCTTAACAACATGCCTTGGTCTGAAGCAACACACAGATTCACAATGCACAGTCAACTCTGGTTGCATGACTGGAGGTAAGACAAAGGTGGAATTAGGGACTGACAAATTTCTTTTATTCTCTCTGCTTTCCCCTCTGTGCGGAACAGTGGACATTAAGCCAGACGTGCCATTGGCTGTGGAGCCCTTATTACCCCTGGACCTGCGCACGGATCTGAGGATGCTGGGCCCAGGCTCGGACCCAGGACTGTGGGAGCATCAGCTGCTCCTCATTCAGAAGCAGCAGCAGATCCAGAAGCAGCTACTAATCAGCGAGTTCCAGAAGCAGCATGAGAAGCTGACCCGTCAGCATCAAGCTCAGCTCCAGGAGCACCTCAAGGTCAGCACTGTACTGAACTGTTGTTATGGAGAACAGCACAGCAGCGTAGACAGTGGCACAGTGCAGCACCACAGTGTACAGAACAGCAGAGCACAGCACGGCATGGCATAGTGCAGATCAGTAGAAAACCTTATAGCTCAGGCCAACATTACAGAGTGCAGAAAAGAAGAAACAACTCAGCACAGCAAGGCAGGGTGTTGAGCAATAGATTACAGCACAGCATGAGTTCTGTTTTTACAGACGAGTTCAAAATAGTCCATCACAGCAAAATAGAAACTGCAGAAGTTCACAGAAGCCACTATCATTTTAAAATATATATTTATCAGTGTGCTCTCTTCATGCTGATTTGAAGCTTGCATGTTTCTCAGCTCCAGCAGGAGCTCCAGGCCATGAAGCAGCAGCAGGAACTTGCAGAGAAGGAGCGTTGTCTGGAGCAGCAGCAGCAGCAGCAGCAGAGCCAGCAGGAGAAGGAGCAGGAGAGGCATCGGCGAGAGCAGCATGTTTCCAGCCTAAACCTCAGAGGCAAGGAGCGCTCCAGAGAGAGTAAGGGCTCACCACCACCATCATCACTATCTCCTTACCATCAGGGGCAGAATTAGTGACTTTGAGGGCCCCAGGCAAAAGAGATCATGAGGCTCCAAACTCATAACCCTTGCTGTTTTCAGTCATTAAAAAAAAACACATTACCTTAGAGAATGCATATAACAGCTGGATAGGGATGCTTTGCTGTAATTGAATACTCCACTGACTGAGAAAATACTTGCAATAAAGATTAACCATAGCATTTGTGGCACATTATCTATAAATTAGTCATGAAACTATATTTTATTATAAAGCAAAAGGTTTTTACCTTGGTCTTGGCTCAGTGGTAAATTGTCTATTTAGCTCTCCTTTAGCTGTTGTAGCACGAACAACTACACATCCTGGGGTACACATCATTAAAATGGTTTACACAACTTTGAAGATCCACACAATAACAGTGGCTAAAGATAATTAAGTGTTGAGATCCAAACACACAATTAAAACGTAAGCTAAATGTTCTCTCCTACCCCTAGTTGTATGTAGTCACAAAGAGATTTTGGATTCTTTTTATAAGGTTTTGACATGACCAGCAGTAAGGCAAAATATTGTTCCACTGTTCTGAGGTGACAGCACAGGCAGATATCACAAAAACTGTGCTTAAGGAACAACATCTTTTTACTGTAAGTAAAAACATGCCAGTACTAATGATGTCTTCTCAGGTGGCTCATATTTTCTAGTGCAGCAGTACTGTATGGGTAAAAATTCATATGTGTCTTATTGTTCTCACTGCATATAGCACAATGTAATTGCTATTCAAAAGTAGGACAAGCTGTTTTGCTTTTTCTGGCTACTGGAGACACGATCTCTCAGTGTTAGATCTAATCGGAAAAAAAGTCAACTTTTTAACTTTATTTATCACATAAAGAAAATATCCATTGCTATAAGGTTGATGATGACATGGTGCTTAACCAGTACAGTCAACTGGTGGCATACATTTGGCCAGTGACATTTAAGCTTAGAGTTAAGGAGAACATGTCTTTCAATAGCATGATGAAAATAGCTTCAGATATAACATTTCAATTCTGTTTTTACCATATAACTAAAAATAGACAGGATTTATAACTTTGTCAGATCAAGTAATTTGAAACTCTGCCCTGCAACTGTAACCCTCCGATGGGAAAAAATACATCTCTCTGCAGTGTCACTTTACTGGCTTGGCACTCATATGGTACCCTCACACCACTAGGGGGAGATCTTCCTACACGTATTGCAGATGCCCTGGAGGATAGAGTCAACCAGAAGAGATTATAGTGTACAAGTGAATTTACACAATCCAGGATGGTTTAGAATTTCAGCACTAAGTTAAATGTGATATAGGAAGCAGGTGAGAAAATCTTACAACAGGGTTAAAGTTTGACATGTACTACTGTCCAGTCAATAATATATTATGAGTCGTAGCCCTAGGGTTACCCCAATCCCTTTGGTTCTGTCTTTTGGTCTCACAGGTGCTGTGGCCAGTACCGAGGTGAAGCAGAAACTCCAAGAGTTTCTGTTGAACAAATCAGCCAAGGACCCTGCCACCAATGGAACCAACCATTCTTTCATCCATCACCCAAAACTCTGGTACACGTAAGTACATTTTGTTATTTTAAAATGAGATAATGATTATGTGCTTGTACTTAAATTACACAGAAACAGTGCCTATACAGTGATGCTGTATCGGTCTCTCTTTAGTTTGGATGTTTTTGTGTGTTCAGGTCCTCTCACCACACATCACTGGACCAAAGCTCTCCACCTCTGGGCGGCACATCACCCACGTGCCAGTATACTCTGCCATCACCCATAGAGAGCAAAGATGACTTCCCCTTGAGGAAGACAGGTTTGCTATTTCTCTCAGCACAGACATAAAAATGCAAACATGCATACATAAATCTTCACAGACACACAACTACAGCAGGTAAAAATATATCAGTGTGAGTCTTGATGTTGTGTTTTATTAGTAACTGTCCATTCACTTTGCTCTGTTATTAATACAGCGAGTGTCTTTTTGACCCTTGTCAGTCAGGATGAGTGTATCCTGAGGTTGCTGATGACCTGCTAATAACACTACTTAGGCTCATTATGACCCCACTAACCCTAACTCTAGCACCCCCCCCCAAAATTTCCCCCAAAAAACTCTCAGAAGACATGACGCATGTCAGGAAAATATCTTAAACCTTCCTTATTCCTCTTTGGATTATTCTAAAACAAACCAGATGAACACAGAACATAACACAGTTTATAGAATGTTTTCACTTCACACATATCTCATGTTTAATTATTGTTAGCCACATGTGTTCCTCTGTTGCAACAATAAACTAAGTTCCAAGGCCTCTTTGAATTTTGGTAATAGTGGTAAATGAGAGAATTAAAACGGATTAATTTCTTCCGAGTTACAAGCTGTAAAAGCTGTTTTGAAAAGACACAGGCTCCCACCAAAGGCCAGTTTAGGATTGTTGGTTTAAAGTTTGAGGAACCCTTTGGGGATGGCTGTGTAAATAAGAATAATTCCAGCCTCTCAAGGTTTGTACAAGCAAGTGCCCACCAAGCTACAAACTCCATATTTCTGCAATGAGGTCACCAAATTACATTATGTTCTTTTCCCTTCTCTGTCTCTTTTAATTACATTGGAAAACAGTTATACTTGTTGAGTTATTTAACTGTAGGCCTGTCATGTTGTGTGTATACACAATTTAGAGATGAGGCAAAGGAATTATATCTTGTAAAATAAAGTCACTGCATAGCAAAAATAAATATTATAAAGGTTTATGAAAGCTTTGAGAGATTTTATAAATTGTAATCATACCATTTTCAGAACAAAGAAATATCTCGTCTAAATATATATGTGCATTTCTGAGGCATGCCATTAGACTTACAAAGTAAGGAACTGCCTCACCAGTTGAAGACGGTTTTCTCAAATAACAGAGAGGCTGTTTATTATAGCATTGTTTCTTTTTCACTGTGAATACAAAAGACAGGTTTAAATAAATAACTGGGCAGATAAAATTTCAGTCTCTGTGCTACTCAGACATGACATTTTAATCCTTTCATTCATGGTTAAACCAAGCCTGACTCTTGCATTGATAAAGCTGTTTCTTCCTCTTTGGATTCCTGAATCTATATGTGGTCATTTCCTGCTCGGGCCTTCCTCCCCCACTTCCTGTCTGTCTTCATTAAAGTCCTCTGAGGGCTTGGCACGCGAGGGGGACACACAAAGGTAGTGTTGTTCCCCAAGCTGCTGGCTGTCACAGATAGCTGACTGGCAGGTGTTGCCGAGTTAGGACTGGCACAGGCAGGATGAACCTCGACAGAACTGTTGGTTTAGGCAAAGATAGCTCTTTCAAAACAAAGTGGTGATGACTCACATGCATCACAGTAGAATCCCCACTGCTCCACTTGGCCTGACGGCTATAGAATAATCTTTTTCTGGTTGAGCTAGAGGTTCAAGCTGATGTTTATGATGTGCATAAAGCTCTATATATACTGTGTAGGCTTGGTAACCTGGTTATCTGTAAAGCTTTTGGACAGCTTATGAAATTTGAATTTTATTTAGTTGAGCTTAAAGGTAGGGTCGGTGATTCATTTCAGAAGCATTTTTGTTACATTTCTTGAAATTCTCCTTTCATCCCAGTTGCAATGAATAAATCAAATGTAATGACAACATAAAGAAAAAAATCTGTCATCTGTGGCGGAGCAGGGCTGAAAAAAGCCTGATGAGTAATATTACTCGACCCTAACAAAGCCATTGGTTGGCCGACCTGCCTGTCAACCTACTTCCTACTTGCACACACCCTGCCTACGCCATTATTGCGTGAGCCAACAATCTCGCACAAGGCTTTTTATAGCTACAGCTGGCGAGCTATGGCAGAGATGGCACCCACAGCAGTTTCGTTCACAAAGACCTATTCCAAAAAGTTACAACTAAAAAGAAGTTGGATGTTGTTTTCTTGAAATTTGGAGCCAGGCATTGGTGCACGTTGCAGTGTAAAAGAAAAAAATCTGTCATCTGTGGCGGAGCAGGGCTGAAAAAAGCCTGATGAGTAATATTACTCGACCCTAACAAAGCCATTGGTTGGCCGACCTGCCTGTCAACCTACTTCCTACTTGCACACACCCTGCCTACGCCATTATTGCGTGAGCCAACAATCTCGCACAAGGCTTTTTATAGCTACAGCTGGCGAGCTATGGCAGAGATGGCACCCACAGCAGTTTCGTTCACAAAGACCTATTCCAAAAAGTTACAACTAAAAAGAAGTTGGATGTTGTTTTCTTGAAATTTGGAGCCAGGCATTGGTGCACGTTGCAGTGTATGTTGTGTTTTGGAGGAGTGGCTTTGGAGAGAAGTCAGAACGAAAGGGTGGGATTTCTTTGGTTGACTACCTTCAAAATCGAGCATCCTCTGGCTGGTTTTCCCACGAACACCAACAATACCAGGAGTATACCACACCTTTAATGCATGTCTATTTTCCTGGAAATAAAATGAATACAAAGTAAACACATTGAAAGTAAACTTTTTCTCATGTGTTTTTAAAATCAGTTTCAAACTGTGTTAAGCACACAGTTTACAGGACATTATAGTATCACCAGAAAAGGTACAACAAATGAATACAAATCTGTAGAGATGGCAGCTTCAGCTATAAACTAGTTCTGAAAATACACCACTAAAGACGGTACCCTATTAATAATTACATTATACTTAAAAACACATGATAGATGTGGTGCCCTTGGCTTTGTTTCCCTCACCCAACAAATAGTTTACAGAATTTCCCATGATTGTCTTGTTTACTTCGTATATATCGTCTTTGTTTCACTTCCAGGGACTAGAATAGACTGGACCAAGGACAGGCAATCATCTGTGGCAAGAATAGTTGCAGCTTGGCTATAAGAAGTGCAACACCCTCAGTGGTCTTGACCTAGTTTCCTAATGTGTGCATTCAGCAGGTGCAGGAAATATTTTCAAAAACATTCCTACCACGGTAAAACTGTAAAACCCAAAGCATGTCAAAGTGAAATTTGGGTGGAAACTCCCTGGAATATAATCAGGTCTTGTGTGTCATCATAAACAGTAATGAAAGAACTGAACTTGCTGAACATATGACATGGAAAACCTAAACTCTATGGAACTATAACTTTGGTTTAGAAGATTTTACTGAGCAGCAACCAGTAAGCATTAATTCATTCATTTCATCATCAGTGTAATCAAGAATGTCAGGCAAAATGCCCAGCAGGCCTCCTTGTGTACAGAATTCACAGCTCAGTTTTCCACACAGCCATCTGTCCAGGTCCAGCCTCTAATGGACACAGACAGTCACAGTGACAGCAGACTTAAAATTCTGATTAAGTGGAGATAGCATAACACATTCACTTGCAAAGCCACTAGCCCTGCAGCAACGCTTCCAAATGAAATGAGGTGACTGATTTATGACTGTGGTTTATTGCGGGCATTACTGTATGTTTTCATAAAGTAAGAAGGTAGAGTAGAAGTGACTCGGGTGTTCAGCGTACGTATATGTTTTGCCACTGCCATCATTGTCTCCTGTTGCACTGTGCACCAGGGCATGTTTTCCACGGAGACCAGTGAGAAAGTGTTTGTTCCCGTGCTGCTGTCTGGTGTTCCTGTGGCGACCAATTGGGATGCGCAGCTTGGTGGCAGCAGTGTGTAAAAATAGAAAGCAATCAAGGCAGCAGGGCGTGAAGCAGATTCATACGACTCCTAACAGCGCTTTCTCTCCATTTATCTCTCCTGCCTCTTTTCTTCCTCCCTCGCTCACTTTCATTCTACCTCACACCCACAGGATTAGAGGTCTGTGCCACATATTAGGGAAGAGGGTTTTGCTGCTTTTGACAAAAGCCAGAAATAGCAGCATCTGGCCCACTCTCTTAGCTGTGTCCCCATCACCGCTCCGTCTCCTCCACGATGCAGTGCTCCCACGTCAGGGCCCCACTTCCTTATGTGTAGCTGTATGTTATACACATTGCAAAAGACTTATTTAAGCCGTGTAAAGCTTGTTGTGGGACTTCATGCACAATGGGTTAATTGGAAGTCCATTTGACACATGTTAACCTAATGAGTCACTGTCACTGTGACTTGACAGGAGCACGACTCACTAGTCAGATGCCAAAGCATTTACCTGCATTTATATTACCGATGCTTTGATTAATTCAAAATGAATTATTTGCCTTCAGTTTTTGTTACATTATTTGCATTAATCATTTGTGCCACACGTTTTTCGGAAAAGTTTACTAATTTGTGTATTTTTTTTTATTAGACGTTGGTACAACTGTATATGTAAAAACTATTATGGCTCAGAGGTCCTCAAATGATTTCTTAAATGTTGTTTTTGTTTTTTTGATTCTCAAGTGAGTAATCATTTAGCAAGGGGGTCAGTGAAACACAATCACCGGCCACTTTATTAGGTACACCTGTACAGTTGAATGCAATTCAGTGCAGCACTTCCACCTTAACTTAATGTTTCAGTTTTTAATAAAAATAAATATATAAATTCAATTATATGTTTATTATTGAGGTCATAGTAAAAGGCGGTGTTGTACTGGACTATATTATATTCAGAGCTGTTCCTAATATTCTGACTGTCTTATGTATGTAGCTAGGGAGGACAAAAATATAGACACCTATGAATTTAATCTAATGCCATAAAAATAAATATTGATTTGATTTGATACTCAGTTTTCAGATTTTATCACCAAATCAAAGAGAAAATATTCATTTCCATTTTGCACATCACCCGTTGAGTTTCTTGGTATTTCATAAGTTTCTGCTTATGCCCTGTTTAGTATTTGCACTTTTACGTTGGTCCTTTAAACAGTGGCACAGGCACATAAACATTTAGGCACGACAAACATCACTTGTATCTAACAGTGTTAGCGTACAGTTGGACATTCCAGTAAAATATACTAAATCTACCCTGATTAAATAGAGCATTAAAATGATGAAATAATTTAAAATGAAACAGAACAACGGTATCTAACCAGTGTCCTTACATCCATCATTGATTCCGGCCGAGAAGTTTGCAAGCAGTATGTTGTGAAAAATAGTACAACAGCTTTTCATCCGTGCCGATGGACTGAATTTATAAGTGTGGTTCAGTTCAGGCCAGGCTGTGTGTGAGTGTGCCGTAGGAGCAGTGTGTTCGGACTGTGTATTCCTTGTATCTCTGTTTTGCATTAGTTGGAAGGGGTGTGGGGAGAGCCTGAAACATCTGCCATGTTTTTGTGTTAGTTTAACTGTTGCTACTGTATCAGACTGTGGTCACCAGGGCGGCAGGTAGCGGACTATTCCGCTTAGAGCCTGTGTGTTGCTCAACCTAATTTAGTCCAGATGAGGTGGAAATGGGCCCAATCCTGACTCACCTAATTTATCTGAAACCTGCTCTGAATTTCTCTGAAACTGAAATCATTACATGTCAAAGTGTGAAAACATTGCTTATTTTTTAACCGATTTATGGACTTTCTATTTCTTTTTATTTTCTCCATGTTTTATGATGTTACCATTTTCTCTGATAATATTTAACTTTATAATAATAGTCACAGTACACTTACATGATTG